CCCTCCTCTCTTGAGAATACCTTAAAGCACATTTCACAGAGATGAAGCTTCTCCCTTGCATGCACTCTCATATGACGTAAAAGTTTAGTCTTGCAGTGGAATATTTTCCCACACACCGCACAACCTAAACCCTCCTCTCTTGCTTCCACTTTTTCCCCTCCCAATGCCTGATCATCTGCGAAGCAAGCATTTCCATAATCTTCAGCTCCAAATGGCCCTGATAATGACAACGGATCTTCTTCACATGGCAAATTTTCGGAGTCATTTCCAACTGTTACCTCACCAATATGTTTGACTTCAGACAAAGAACTTCCCTGCTTCAGTCTTTGCTCTTCTTCAGTCTTTACATATATAACAATCTCTGCATTTGTATCTTCAAAAACTTCTTCTTTTATTCCTTGCAAATCCTCCTCGGTGGTTTCTTCAATATCCTCTTCCTTTACAGCAATAAATTCAATTGTGCTGCTCTCCCCTTTCATATCCATGGTGTTCATCAAAGTCACTTAGTCACTAATCACAACAATGGCTGTGGGAGAAAGAAACAGTGATAATTGAGTAATCTTTGGCAAACTACAGATGACGATACATTATGATAATATTAACAATAATTGTTACCACTATTGTTACAATATACAGCATATGCCGAATAAATAACAATGAATAATGATAGTTTTTAACATTGTTTTTGTTGCTATCATTGTTATTATTATAGCCAAGATATTTAAAACTAATGATTACAATAAATATTATTCATATTAATAATCTATCAAATGAGAAAAACATGAACAGAGTTGGTGGCACAAATAATAAAAATAACCATGTAATTCACTGGAATCAATTAATTCAATAGAAAAGTACTGTTGCTACAGCAGGCTTCCTATTTTGTGAGAATATAAACATCACCTTGTGTTGCACTGCAGATATTCACAATGCAGACGACAAAGAAATTAATACCGTATATCCAATATCATTAACATGTCATCCAACTTACTCAGCAGCTGACTTTACACCCATAAATTTTCCACAAAACCTTTACACAGATTTAAGTATATTTCTTGATGGTATTACAGACCCTAAAGATATGAAATACAACAGTCTAATGATGGTATAATTAGGGCAATAGAACAAACTTATGCGAAAAACTGTCATAATTATAAAACTATACGACTGATGCATTGAAAATTATTCCTCAAAATTTATTTATACTCAAAAAAGTGCCACAAACTATATAATACCAATTCCTTACAAGCCATTGGTAGGACTAACACTCATATAACTGAAGGCAGACAAAGACAATACAACACACACACAACACACACACACATACACACACCACACAACACACGCACACACACACACACACGCAATACACACACACGAATACACACACCACGCACACACGCACGCACGCACGCACACACACACACACACCACACACACACACACACACACACCACACACACACACACACACACACACACACAGCAACACACAAACCACACATTGCACCCCACACATAATATATAATATAATATAATATACATTTAACATACATCATACAATATATACATAATATATATATATATAATATATTAACATAATATACAATAATACATATTATATAAAATAATGATAATATACATACATACCACTATATATACATACATATATAAACCTAATACCATATAAACATACTTACATATATATACATATATACAATATATACATATTACAATATCTACATATACATTATTACATACATACATAATATCATACCATACATATATACATACCATACATATACTACATATAACCATACATACAACATATATATACAATATACTACATATATATACATAACATATATAAACATATACAATATATACCAATATTTATATATATAATATATATTATACAATTTTAATATTTTAATCATATTTAAAATACAATACATATATAAATATACAAATACATATATAAATAAACATAATACAATATTACATATATACATTCACCCTCACATCACTATATATCTAGAACACTAAACACAACCATATAATATAATATACATAATGTCATAATATATACATTTAAACATATACCATAATACATAAACATATACCTAATATAATAAAAATATACATTATAACCAACAATTTATATACTATACATATACACATAGTACATATACATATACACATAATATATACATTATACATATATATACATATACATATAATTAAAACAATACATATAACAATCACTATACATAATATACATATATAACCATATAACTTATATATAATACTACATACTAAATACATATACATATATATATATTCTCATCTACCCGACTTTATACTATACACCTTTTCCCTTAGTCATCTGTGACTTATATATACCTTCAACAAATATCATATACTATTATTGAATATATACGATATGAACGATATAATAGTGTAACCATATATAATAGTACATGATAACGACTGGTAGGATG